ATCCCCTCCAAATGTTTAATATCTTTACTTGCTTTTCCTATCTTCTATGAATGATATCTTTCCATGCCGCTGTTTACAGATTTGCTTGGAATCATTATTAACAAATTGAAAATATCCTGTAATGTTAGATGTGCCATAGTTCAACTGTTTCCCTACCAGCATACATGTTCCCCTCCCTCCCTCCCTCCCTCCCTCTCTCCCTCCCTCCCTCCTTCCTTGCTGTGGGATATCTTTCTGTATGCTGTGAATATGTGTTGCTCTGGTTGATAAATAATGCTGCATTGGCCTATGGCAAGGCAGCTTAGAAGCAGGTTGAAATCCAAGCAGATAGACAGGAAGAGAAAGGAGACGCTTCGAGCCAGGCCCCACATTGGGCACCACTTATTAAGATCAATCCACATGAGTCTATTAAATGGATGACAGAATTTATTAAGATATAAATTGAGGAAATACACTCACCATTACAGAACTGACTAGACAGCAGAAGTCATCCTCTGATGTGACCTGGAGAAAATCCACCTCACAGGCAGGAGCAGGGAGAAGGGGCATATGACCCACCTCCAGGTCCTCATCAGAGGTCACATACAATGGCAGGAAGCACTGCCTCCTTTGGGCCGTATAGCCCAAGGTCATGGGCAGAACAAATACCACTGCCTGCCCTTCCTTTTTTCCTTCCTTTTTTTTCCTTCCTTTTTTTCCTTCCTTTTCCTTCCTTCCTTCCTTCCTTCCTTCCTTCCTTCCTTCCTTCCTTCCTTCCTTCCTTCCTTCCTTCCTTCCTTCCTTCCTTCCTTCCTTCCTTCCTTCCTTCCTTCCTTCCTTCCTTCCCTCCCTCCCTCTCCCCTCCTCTTCCCTCCCCTTTCCTCCCCTCTCCTTTTTTTTTCTTTTAGATAGTCAATACAATTCAGTGTCTTCTGAGTATATGCAAGGGCTAACTATAGAAGGGTTTTTAGATGCAGGCCATATGTGAATAGGGCATTTTCACTGAAAAGTTCTATTGATACTATAAAATGGCTTTCCACAAAAGCTGAAGCCGTGTTTGCTCAGTGTATTTCTTCACTCACTCACATACACTGAGTGTTACGAATCTCACTCATTGGGATTGCATGGCTATATTCTGTTGTTTTCCTTTTTTATGGATATTAATACTCTGTCTGTCATCTAGGGATATAAATATTTAGTCTCTCACTATAACTTTGCTTTCCTTAGAATCTTTCTCTTAACTTTCTTCAAACTGATTTTAGCTATATGTTGGTTTCTGTTTATTCTTTTCCTGTTAACTATTATTGAATACTTATAATCACTTCTGAAAAATTGTAGTTAAGTTCTTCTTTTATTCATATTGATCCCACACTTTTTATTTACTAAATATTTCTTCTGTCTGTTTTTATTAAATAAGGTATAACTTGCATATTATAAAATCAGTCAGCATTTAAAAATACTGTTTTAACTGAATTTTAGTGTATTTTCAAGGGTGCACAATCATTTTGAATTATCTTTTTCTTCATCTGTGCATGGCCAGAAGCCAGGACCTCAGACGTGCTAGGCAAGTGCTCATCACAGAGGGGATACTTCTTAGTCCCATCATGCATGACGAGGCAGAAGGCAGTCCCGAGACCTGCTTTGTTATCTTTAGTTTACTTTGGATATCTGGAAGGGTCAGATCCTAGGGAGTCTCTGTGCAGATTGAGTGACTCTGAGTCACTTGGTGACCTAGGCTAGACACTCCCATCAGTTCTTTAACTTCAGTTTTCATGCTGAAAATCTTTGGGGTTTTGTAAAGGGAAGTGTTGTATGGGAGGAACCACTCCTTGTGGCCCCGGTTTCTCACAGGCCAGCCCTCACATTCTGAGTAACATAAATGGATGAAGAATTGTAAAGAGCAGTTCATTTCAAGGTTGTGGATGTTGAGATTACTCCCTTCTAAGTCAGTGAGGTCTGGATATTTAGAGTAGCAATCAAGATTATTAGAAAAAAATCTCAGGAATCCCAATGGACGGAAGCGGGTAAGACCTTCATTATCTAACAAGGCCTCCTAGAGGTGCCGGCAAACCCTACTAGGAAAGTTAGCACACATTTCAGCTTTTGTCTTGGCCTCTCTGGTGGACTGCTCTGGGATTGTGGCCTATCCTCTTGCAGATGCCCACCTCATCAAGAAAAGGACTGGGCCTCAGTCAGTAACTGCAAATAGCTTTTGGTGAAGCAGCCAGGGAGGAAACATCCCTGAGCCTTTGTAGACCATCCTGCACCTTTCATGACTGTGTGAAGACAAGGCGACTCCCCTTGTCTTCGTATGCCCTGAGCAGACCCTGTGACTGCCCCGTGGAGTCTCCAGATCTGTCCTCACCTGTTCTGTCCCCATCAAAGAGAAGGCTCTCAGCTAAAGCACAGATCCAGTCCATTCAGCATTCACTTGAAAGGCACTTGGTCTGGGTCTGTGGCCTTGGCCCTGGTTTCCCATCCATCCTCAACCCCAGTTGTATATTAGACTGTCTGTTAGCATGAAGTATTTCCAGCAGCTTTCTCTTATAATATATTATGTACACTATAAAATTTTTTATATACTATAAAAATTTCTCTGTTCATTTTATTGAGTCACAGTGAGATTAACTGGTCATTTTGTTGAATGAGGTAAAGTACCATGAAATTGTCACAGTCATTAAGAGGTATGTGAACAAGGCTAATCTTTGACACTCATCCAAGAACATACATAGAAGATATAATCTTTTGTGTGTGTTTGTGTGTGTGTGTGTGTGTGTGTGTGTGTGTGTGTGTGAGAGAGAGAGAGAGAGAGAGAGAGAGAGAGAGAGAGAGAGAGAGAGCGCGAGTGTGTGAGGACGAGCAAGCATGCATGTGAGTGAGCCCGCT